CTCTCTCTCTCTCTCAAGCATATACGGACATACAAGTAGGAGGGAGTTTAGGGCGTACCACGTTTCTGCACTATGATGTTGGGCTACTCTTCATATTGTCAATTAGTTTTATGGTAAAACCTCAACTTTCTTCTTGGTATCAGTAGGTTAGCCCACGTGTTCCACGTCATCCAATTTGCGTTGTCCATGCCTTGGCATGAAAATTCGTCACATGTAAAGGAGCATATAAGAATGTGAAGATAAAAAATGCCTCACATCAGTGAAAAGTGAAACCTTGCAAGGGCTTTTTATAAGAGGCTGGACTACTCCTTATATTGCTAATTGGTTTTATGATGGAAACCCAACTTTTTTCAAATTACATTAGTTATCCCACGTGAATCAAGTCATGTAAAATAATGATCATCTTTCAAAATCGTTTAGCTGTTGGGGATTTAATTTGTTTAAAGAGTACGTAGGTTAAGAATTATAATGTTGAGAGTATAGCCATATCAAACAATAGAAGTCTAGCATCAGAGCTTAATAAATCTTGAATATTTTTAACCGTTACTCATTTTGGGTTGAATGCTTATATAGTCGTCTAATATAGTACCAAAATAGACCATCCACTTAGCCTCTTTGCATGAGTCTAGCCATATATGTCATGTTACTACATAAAGTTAAATATATTGCCATCAATACCATTGATCCAGAGGACTTTTCAACAAATAAATTTTGATCCAGGTTAATTTGTATGTGTCATTCGCAGGTTCGTTAGAATGTAGATGTATGCAAATGTCTGTAACCATGTTGCGTGTGTGTTTTTGTCTATTAATGTAACAGGTTTTGCAACTCAACAGAAATGCAACAAATATCACTTTGCACTCCCATGCGTAGAACAGAAGCACTTAAGATATTGGTTTGAATGTTTCAGTCAAAAGCTGTACAAAATTTTGTGAAATACAATTAAATTGCGATTGACTTATGTAAATGCAGTAATTTCAAAGGTGGCTTGGTGGAAGGTGTGTGTGTTTGTCTGAGAGAGAATGAGAGAATGAGAGAGGGTAACAGCTTTCCGGCCTCGAAGGAAAATGCCAAAAAGGGTGACGAAATGAAAGCGATTTTCTCGTTCTCAAAAAGGAAAGGGGTCGGTATCTCCATTGTCCAGCAGGTCATCACACACACAACAAAACAAAATCTTACTGAGAGGACGAACATTGTGGGGATGATGATGATGATGATGACATGTTTGATGTCCTTACTTATTGCCTTGTCCATGTTTTTCTTATAGAGAACTAATCTCCTTTCTTGTGTGCCATAATTTGTTCATACCAGTTGAGCCCTAGCTAGCTCGACCACCAATTATATTGACAAAAGTTAGGAGGATTATATCTTATAACAAAAAATATTGCAAAATGCTATAATATTTACCCTCTATTGTATCATCTTTCTCATCGATATGAGACCCACATCTGTTGATGGGTACGTAAAGATGGTGCAAGTGATAGTACAAATAGATAGTAAGTGTAGCATTACTCAAAATAATGTTAAAGCACTTTCTTAGGATACAATGTAACATGTTAAGATATTGATTGGATAACCATTAATTTGGACAAGAATTCACGCGAAATACAGTAGAATAAAATGAATAGTTTGACGACGTTATAGAATACCCGAGTGATTGTTTATCATTATAACATTTTACTATGCATGATGTCGGTAGAATATATGTCATTTTCATAACGAAGTGCAAAGAAATGAATTAATTAATATTATAAATATTAAGTCGACATTCAAAGGATTATGAAAGGTGATCAAGGAAAAAGTTAATTAGTCTTCCATTATCTATCTAGTCAAAACCATTGAGCGTAAAAGAGTAATCCATAACTCCTTTTGATTCATGTCATCATGAAGCATTACCTCCTCTGAAATAACGTGCAATAAAGAAATATGTTTGGCTACTTGTAAGCATGACCTTCGTGCTCTTCCTTGGAATGGTCCCGCACATACATGCATGTTTAATTGGATGGTAGATGATGAGTTTAATCAACGGACACATATATAGTAGGTGGTGGCCGACAATGGGGTTGTAGGATAAGGCAGGTGAGGATGAGGAACAACCTATAGTTTCTCTGGAGAGTCATGAGCTTCTTGCAGCTGGTAGCTCGAGCTGGGTTGTAACTTGTGTAAAATGACAGTTGATGCAACACACAGTCTAACAAAAAGTGGTTCTCTCTCTCTCTCTCTCCCACTCAGTCCTTCACGTTAATCACGCAGCTTCATGTTCTTCCGTTGTTGATCACTCATCTGTCTCTGTCTCTGTCTCTCTAAATTAATTATTAACACTGATATGCAATATTTAATTTAATATTTTATTTCCATGCATGATGTAAAATAGTGTAATGCTAGGAAGATCAACTTTTTAGACTAAATTTTGTAAATCATATAACGTGATTGTTGATGATTGGATTATTACTTAATTGTTGATTAACGCGTTTATTTTCTATTGATAACACATCATATGGTTTTACAAATTTGGTCTAAAAAGTTGGTCTATTTAGTATTACTTTATGAAAAACGTAAAAAGAGATAGTTATATAGATATGCATAATTTTTAATTTGCAAGAATAGAAGGAGAGTGGACTGATGATTAAGATTGATAATCTTTTAAGTAGAGCTTCACTTCATATATATCTTTACTGAATCCATGTGTGTCTGAGAGAGAGAGAGAGAGAGAGAGAGAGAGAGAGATGAATGGAAAAGCAGAAGCAACATGTTTGTAAAGACTGAAGATACATCATACATTGGGGGGGCGGGGGGCTAGTAGCACGGAGTTGGTGGTGTCACAGTGCCCTAAACCCTAAAGAATGTTGCACGAAAGGGTATGAAACACAATGGGTGAGAGCCAAAAACTGGTTTCATGTAAGGAATCCTGGCACATGTAATTTCTTACTCAACTGATAGTGATAGATATACAGACACATAGATATACAACCTTTTTGCCTTGCATGTAGCTAGCTAGCCCAATTTTTAAGAAAGGTAAAGACAGAAAGGATGGGCCTTGTTTTTACAGGACATGGTAATCAAGTTGATAGTTCTCCCTCAGAGATCAGAGAGAGAGAGAGAGAGATGGGTTTTGATCCATGCAAAGATTGCTTAAGCATTTAAGGACAAGCAAACCATTTATATGTATTTATGTAAGAGCGCTGCATGGAAAAAGCATAATACGTAATTAAGTAATTAGAAGATGCATGCTTTTTTGGGTAGACATATGCATAGTTGAGTAAAATATACATGGATGTAAGCAGAAATGTAGGATTCTTTTAAATTACAGATGCAGTAGGAGCTTTATGCAATATTTCTGCTAATAATTTTGAAAGCGTGGGGTCTGTCTTTAGTTTCACGAAAAGTGATGATAGAGAGATTGTCTTTTTAAAATATGTTTTGTAAATCAAGTGATGTTGTAATTAATGATTGAATTTATTTTTTTAAATTATTAAAAACAAATTCAACAATTAACTGCAATATCATATGATTTATAAAACATGATTTAAAAGTCTTTTTAGTATATTTCTTCACGTAAATAGGCAAAGTGAAGAATAAAGTTGGAAAGTGAAAAAGCAAAGCTTCTCTTTCTCCTCTCTCTCATGAAATGAAAAAAAAAATTCACTGTGATTGGAACATGAGTACTACTCTATGTATTTTTATATAAATAATAGAAAATTGCATTTGTTAAGTTATTAACATTTTAATACATATATCTTATCATTTATATAATGATATATAGTGTACTATTTATTATTTTGATCACATTAAAAAATCTCTTCACGAGAGAAAGAAACAGAATCGCAATGTGGGGGAGAGATGCTTTCAATACTATGCAGCAATTAGCACGGAAGAAAGAGCTCGATCTCCAACACTCTAAAAAGTTACTCATGAATTACCCTTTTTTTTACACCAAAAAAAGGGAACCCTAAGCACTTCTCTCTCTCTCTCTCATTGATTCAAATGTTGAAGTCCTACATTCAATACACTTTCAAACCACCACTTTTTCAGACAGCACCAAATCACACCACAATGCCAGACTAATTATTACAAACACAGCCCCAATAAGCAACAGATCTAGAGAGAGAGAGCGAGACAGACAGACAAACAGACAGAGAGCAGGCAGGCAGGCAGGCAGGCTAGGCTGGCTCACATTGCAACTGTTGCAGAGATAGCTAGGAAGAGGCCCAACAATGGAGGCTTTAACTAGCTGGCCCCTTACTGCTACTTCATACATTGTCATTGTGATCAGAGGGCGATGACAGAGATGGAGCCTGAGACTCAGTTCCTTGATAGAGAGAGAGAGAGAGAGAGAGAGAGAGAGTCTATGGGAGAGACTAAGACACACTTACTTACTAGACAGTGAGACTTGTAGATGCAGACGGAACATAAAACAAATCAAAGATACCCCATTTAATAACACCCCAAAATCTACATGGGGTACAGATCCGAACGGGATTAATATTTTGAGACAAGGGGGAGAAACTAAACCCCGTACGTGTTAACTGAATTAATATGTTAAATACTCAGCAATGAGATTAATGTAAACCCTAAATGATGTTTAATAACCACATCATTGCCAAAAGAATTCATAATTAAGTTACTGAAAAACCCCATGTACATACAATCCAATTTTGTTCATAATCATTCCTTGATTAAGTGGCCGAAGAAACTTAATTAGGCAACAACAAATTTATTTGTTTCAATCTACATATGTATAGATAGTAGATTTTCTTGCATTTATTGCTACTATAAACAACAATCATTCTTTCAATCTACATGCATTTGAAAATGGGAAAACTACCATGAACATATATATCAACACATTTGATCAACACCTCTTTTGGGTCATTCATAAAAAATACTGGATAATATAATCATGAACTCAGGGCAAAACGTACAATTTCCTTTTGTTACCAGTTAACTTTTACATTTTTGCATATGATCATACAAACCCCCCCCTCCCCCCCCCCCCCCCCCCAAACAAAAACAACATCAACAGAAACATATGCCAAAATGTGTTTTTAGTTCTTAGATAATTTCTTAAAATAAACAAATTAATATAATTTCCCCGATTAATTTCTAGATCATCATGCTTTCAAATTGTCATATACCTCTCTCTCATGATCTAGGGTAAAGCATTGTATTGCTGCAAATCATGACTACTCCACGCTGGAATTCCATGAGGCCAGTTGCTTGCGTTCTCATTGCCTCCGGCGCCACCACCACCACCACTGTTGGTTGGAGTTGGAGTCACTGGTGCTGCATAAGTGTTCCCGAAGAACCACTCAGTGGCGGTATCCCCACCTTCTTTTCTTCCATGATTTACACCTTGATGATGATCAGGTTTTGAGGATGATGATACCTCCAGATTCTGAAACAAGCTTATGGGTGTAATCATCTGCTGCGTTTTCTGCTGGTTTTCAAGCTGAGACTGCGTTGAATGAGTTGACTGGTCATGCTCTTCCGTACCGATCAACATGGCCAGCCTCTGCTGCTGCATTTTCCAGTGAAGGTCTTGGTTAATAGAACTCAAAGACTCGATGGAAGACGCAAGGCTACTGTGCACGTTCATAGCACTCATCATATTCTGTGTACTAATTAACCCACCACTACCACTAGCACCGCCTCCACCGCCGCCCAAAGTGAGCGGATAATTAAAACCCAGAAAAGAATTATTACAAGCGTTTGTCCCACCACCGGCTGATGGCTCAAGAGTACTAATATTCAAACCGGAAGTACCCGAAACGTCTCCGAAAGCTGAAAATGGGTTGTTGAAATTAATCCCAGCTGCTGGGTTTGAAGAGAACTGGTTGTTGTTATGGAGCCTAGATATGCTGCCGAGCTGAAAATCCATGGCAGGCGAAATGCCATGGAAGAACTTCAAGCCGCCGAGCATCATATTCTCCGAGGAGGAAGAGCCGGCTGAGTCTTTTGATGAGTCGAAGCTGCAGGAGAGCCTGGAATTGGAGGATGAAGACGACCTGATTTTCTTGTTCTTCCGGCAGCCGCCGCCGATGGGGACGTTGCGTAAAGCACCGCCTTTGGTCCAATATCTCCGGCAAGTCTTGCAGAAGTGGCGTGGCTGCGTGAGGCTGTAGTTGTTGTAGTAGCAGAATTTGGTGTTGGGTGAGTCACATCTCGGGCACTTGAGGGCTTGCTCTGGTGGTGGCAGCTTTGGCCCCGATGACGATGATGATGTGGTTTTCGGCCGGCTGCCGCCTGATCCACCTGTTGGGTTCTCGTCGTCTTTTGGCTTTGCCGGCTGTGCGGCATCTGAGGACATCATTTTGTGTGTTGGAGAGAAGTGTTTGATTAGTTTGTGGGGGTGGGTGGTGTGGTTTTTTTGGGGTGGTGGTTTAGTTTCCTTTGGGAGAGGCAAAGTTGTAGTCAATTCATTGGTTTCATGCATGGGATGGAGAGAGTGAAAGGGGAAGGAAGGAGATGGGTGTTGAATGTTTAACAGTGCTTGTGATCTTCATCAAAGAGAGAGAGAGAGAGAAGAAAACTTTGATATATGTATTAAGGTGGGTTTAGAAGTTAGATCTGATGGAACAAATAAAGCTGAAATATATGAGAGAAAGAGAGAGAGAGAGAGAGAGAGAGAGAGTTACAGTAGCAAAAGAAGTCGGTTGCTATTTCTATATATATAGAGAGAGAGAGATGGAGGTAGCGAGGAAAAGGACAGAGGAAAAGAGGGAGAAGAGACAAGTAAACTAATGATCTGAGAAAAAACGATCAGCAGCTGGCAGAATAAAAGAGATCCACAACCAAACCAACAACAACAACAACAAAACAATTTGGATAGAATCAGTTCTTGATGCTTGGAGAGATGGAAAATGTGACACAGCAGTGAAAATCAAAATAATCGTCTCATTTTTGAAGTGGTCTGTACACATGTCGTGTTTTTACACGATATGAAGGGAAAATTTTACTTTTATAACATATTGTAAGCAAAAAAACTTTAATGTGTATCAGAAATACATATTACATAATGTACTATTTCACATTATAAAATGAATAAACAACAATGTTGATATGTATTACTTTTAAAGTATTTTAATAAAAATCAAATACACATTTTATAATTTGCGTAAAACTGTATACCATACCAAGGTGTGTTCCGAATCCCTAAGAAAATCTCTAAATGGTAAGCGACAATGTAAACTTAATAAAGAATAGTAATTAAAGTTACTTTAATTGATGGAAGAATAAAAAGAGGTTAGGGTATGTTGAACTTGTTTTATATAACGTACATTTTTTTACAATATTACATTATTAAATTAAAACGTCACGAAATGCTGATCTTGCTTTGTGTAAGTTGTTGTGGAAAGCTACTGCTACCTTTGGCCATAACACTGTTAAAGTGGTAACTAATTAATTTCTTATTGGATGATGAGACATGAATGAATATCGGGTCATGGGTGATTAAACCGATGGTGCATGATATGAAATGAAATCTAAGCTTTGGGATGTGAATGTGATATGATAGAATATAGAAAGAGTAGAAAGAACGCAGAGTCAGTACAAACAATAGTAACAGTGGGGTGTCTCTCACTTACAGTACCTTTGTCTATTCCTTCCCATGAAAGGTCCCTTTTAAAACCAAAGATAACCACACATCACTTTAAACACCCCAATTGCAAACAAATACCTCCTATAGTGTTAGAAGAAATTATTGCATGAAACGGGATCACTCTTTCGTAATATAATCACTTTGTATACGTAAATGTAGTTGATATTGTATTCTAAAGTTTAAAGTTTTATTTTAAATGATAATATCACGTAATAATTTTCAGTAAAACACAATAATTTTCTTCTCTAATTATGCATTATTTTGGACACCAATACTCAATTATGTACATATACGGCCGACTTATCCCCTAATTGAGTCATATGTCGTTCAATTTGCTACAAATACTTCAAAGTATGATCTAGCAATGGTTTTTTTGCTTTAAAAATAAGAACAATTAGATCCAAGTTACAATTATCCACTCATTTCAAACTTAAAGAGGCTATGAAAAATTTTAACCTACTCATTGTCCATCATCTAGCAATGTTGGACACTACTATAGCTTGTACGTAAACACCAGTATACCACCCACCCAGTTACCAAAAACAAAAGGGTCTTCTCACTGGTAGCTTCAATTATGCTATTAATTAGCCAATTATGAACAAACATGACAAGGTTAAAACATCATGAGTCCATCAGTAATATTCTCTAATTAATAAATTTGTCTGAAAATGAGAGAGAGAGAGAGAGAGAGAGAGAGAGAGAGAGAGAGAGAGAGAGAAGCTTTACTAGATCTCATAATCTAGAAGTAGGCAGCTAGCTAGGGTTTTGAACAGCTTTGTAGGGATTATGATCGACTTAGAGAGGGATGCAGAAACAAGTTTGTTTTACGGAGACCCATAAACCCAGCAAAGATATCCATCTCGCCAGTTTCAAAGACTGCTGTGTGTCTGTGTGTAACTCAGGAATTTAACGGTCGCGATCACATTTTTTTATTTGTCTTGTTGCATGTCTGGATATTGATGAACTACTTTCTGCTTGGAACCAGGAGAAACGTACAACTCTTTTGAGAGAGAGAGAGAAAGAGAGAGAGAGAGAGAGAGCGAGAGAGAGATTGAAGAAAACGTGATCCTGCTTAATTTTCTGGTTTACCCAGCACAGTACTAGAAAACAAAATATAGCTCAACTTTAGATCGTGAAGATTTGGTAGATGTACCGTTCAAGAATAGTGTTATTCACACGCTCATTTTCATTTCATGCACATCTCTCTTAATTTTTAGTCGTTGAATATTCGGTAGGTGTATTGTTTAAGGATAGTGATTCACACACTTATTTTTACTTCTCACACTGTTCTTAATTTTCAATAGTCGATCGAATGAATTGAAGAAAATCAATAATCATAAATTAATAAAGGTCACTAGTAGACAAAAGCTCATCTATCACGGTCAATGACTGTGGTAGATTACAATCCGCCACGGACATAGTGCCCATTTGTAATCTGGACATGATAAAAACTCTTAATTTTTACCATGGGTAATGCTCGTTGTCAAATGTGATGTAATCACAAATTGTGATAGATTTGAATCTAACACCACGTGCTATAGCCATTGTGAGTTACATATTGACCACAGACCATGCTCATTATAAGAAAAATTTCAAAATAATAATAATAATAATAAATATTTGCTTAATAAATATAAAATATTTTTTATATACAAAATTGCACATTTACTTCACAAAGTCACATATTTCAAATATTACACTAACGCTAGCAACATAACCAATTAGTAGTAATAGTAAGAAATACCCAACCAATGAGTTATACTACAATTTTAACCAAACACGTACAAACTTTGTTTCATACTTTAAAACAAAACTTAAGTCCTAGTTCCAAACTTGGTGCTCCAATTATATTCGTCTTCTATGCATTCGTCTCTTCAAGAAGACACACATCTCCAACAAGCCAATACACACTTCAAATTTGCAGGTGCTGCCTGTAATGTAAATGTAGTAGTTGATATTTGAGTTATAACCCTTCATAAAGTAGAACCACCAACCACCTATGAGATAAAAAGGAAAAAAATATAAAGTTTAGAATCAAACTCGTGTCTCAAGGACACTGTAAACAGAAAAATTCAAAACGACCAAGTCAATTAATCAAAATGCAACCAATCGTAATCCAAGTAATAAAAAAAAATTCCAAGTATCGAATATCCCAATAATATATTCATATATTAATTAACAAGTTAATCCTATCATCTCTACAAAAACAAAAACAAAAATTCTTTGATAAATTACTGTAATTGATCAGCCAGAGACAAAAAATAAAAAACTGAAGAAAATAAAATTCGAAGCAAACAAAATTGCTACCAAATTCCTCCAAGAGTGGCACCACTCAAGTTTGGTTTCTGCTCTTAAATGCTTGCAGGAAAAAGACTTTATCAACCAAATATTGTACAGAACACTTTAAAAGAAAAAAAATTGTAAACCCTGAATTTTGGAGAATAAATACCAAAACATAGAGTGAATTTCTAATAAATTAGGGAGCTTGAATAAAAGAAGTTTAGATTTCAAAATTAAAAATTTTGGTTAGTTAAAAAGAGAGAGAGAGAGAGAGAGAGAGAGAGAGAGAGAGAGAAAGGAAGAGAGAGAGAGGAGAGGGGAGAGAGAGAGAACTTTTTTTTATAAATACTTGTTTAGTTTCTTAGAATAACCATGAAAGGAAAGAAGATGAGGTCAATGAGAGGGAGAGGATGAATGAAAATCTGTAGCTGGCTAACTAAGAACGGTTGGGAAGTTTTGAAGTTGGCGTTGGTGGGAGAGAATAAAAAGGAAGTAAAAAAGATTGAGGAATGATTTCACTTAAATTTTGGGAAGTGTGGGAATATTGTGAAAATATAAGGATTTGAAAATTTGGGAAAATTTCTAGTCCCGCCTTCTAAAACTTTTTAAAATAGTGTATAACTGCATCATGTTTAATGTCCGTGGTAGATAAAAAAATGCAGTATGGCTACTAACAATATTGATCACGGCCAATGTACGTGGTGGTTTAATACTTTCACAACGTGCTGACTAAGACCGTGGTAGTAAGTTGTTTTATTATAACGGGCTACTACTTGCCCGTTATAAAATATTGTTATCCACAACATGTTGACTAAGCCCGTGATAAATGTTCATTTTTTATAACGGGCACTTAGTGTCTGTGATAAAATTGATGTGGTAAATGAACTGATTTCTTTTAGTGGGTGTGAGAGGTAAAAATAGGTGCATGACTTAAAAGCCAATCATTTAATTTAATTGTGGAATAAATCTGGCAAAGGTATTGTTTGTTATTATTTGTGATAATCAACAATACAAATCCAAGAGCATATAGATCATAATAAATTGGGATTGCAAGCTAATGGATTTATATTGTTTTGACGAATCTTAAATGACATTGTTTGGACCCAATTTTGCACACATTTAGCTCATATACTCTAAGTTGTTGGATGAGAGAAATATTAAGAATCGGGATTGGTTTCCGACAAAGGTTGAATCAATCGCATAATCAATCTAGGTTCAGAGTCCTAGTCGAAGATGACGAGACTTGACGGTGATAAAGTTTCAACCAAGAATAATTCAGAGTGTAATCAAAGAATATAACAATTATCATAATTATACCACTCAGCAAGCTTTAAGCACCAATAAACTTATCCCTATAAATACAGAAGCATTGGCAACATGAAGGCCCCTCTAACTTAACAAACAACTCAAACGCTCTACGTAAAAACCCTCAATCTACGACAAACCCTTCTTAAACCCTTGAGCAAAATATTAACTATCATAACCCTCCTACCAACACATCTTCAATTCAAATAAGTCAACAACACTTTTCAACCGACAACATCATTAGTTCAGATAAGTGAGCAGCACTAAAGCAGTAAAACTAGGGGGTTTAAGAGCACCTCAGTTCAGACAAGTGAATAGCACTACTTCTGCTTGGTTGGTTATCTATCTAAGTCTCAGTTAGTAAAGAGTTTCTCATTGAAAAGGGTCACTTCATCAACTTCTCAATGAAGTGAAGTGTTTTATGATTAATTACTTTTTGGTGCATTTCGCAGTTCGGCATTCAGGCGGCTAAACAACATTTACCATAAAAACACTCAACTCCTTTGAGTACTTGTGCCTTATAGCTTGAAACCGATTCGGCGCACCTATACACGAATATAGTCGAGGTAGCCGAGCCTGGTGCAGGAGATCCTAAACTTCATAGTGATTTGGGCAACCCTGTCCTTAGGTTCTAGAACTTAAGGCCAGACGTGTTCCTTCCCTGGTCGTAAGCGCTCAAGCACAGAAGTCAGCAACGTATTTGATACCACCACCACATCTATTTTACTCGCCCGATCGAGCACAGTTGCGAGTTGGCACACCCGCATTCACAAGAAGAACGTAGTTAGCTCATAATTACTTGGCATACATGCCACATAGGTTTTGAAAATTAATCATGTATCTAGCTGATCACCAAACACAAAACCTTTATTTTTTGTAGTATCGGCTTGTGTAGCCAAAAGTAATTATTGATGTTTAGCGAAACAATAATAAGAACCTTTGCGCTAAACTAACCAACTAGTCTTCATGAAACCATACCAACTAAAATGGTGCCATTAAGAAAAAAAAATTTCCTGGCTAGTCATATTGAAAAAAATTTCTAGTGATAGGATTGTCAATTGGTCATTGACTGTTCACTAAGACAAGTATGTACCGTGTCTGTGATGGCTTGTTTCATGTCCTTAGTGACACTAAAACATATATATATATGTGGTCAAATAGAGGTTGATATCACCGGACACAATCAAACATGAGCTCTTATGTGTGTATAATAGATATCGATGCACATTCATGTCGAGCTTTTGATCGTTTCAATAATGCAAAGCTAGTCCTTGAATTCAAGACATTGCAGCTATCTACTGAATATCAATGACTATTAAATTCTGCAACATGGCCAAGAGACCTAATCATCTCGCGTGCATCATCAGTAAGAAACTAACAGATCCCACGTCCAATTTTAGAATTACGAATTATACAAATGATGGAATACTTAATGTGAATTATGATGGTGACTTAAATTAATTAAAGGAAACTTTAACTAAAAGCTCCGGTACTGTTCACTTTAACGAAAAACCATATTTTTACACTGAATGATTGATTAATTTTAGGACTTAAACATAATGAATGGGCCTCAAAAAGGTTTTAGGTTCGATTAGACCCATTGAGCCAATTCCCATTGAAAGGACTTAAGTCATCAAGTGGTGTAAAACGAAATGTGGCCCAAAAGAAGGCCCAAAGGCACCATGATGGGTTTTAGAGATAACGAAAGGCCTAGAACCATCATTATGTTGAATAGAGAGTAGATTATAATTTACGATCAATGCTACATTTACCACTTATTTATACTATCATTTGTACCATCTTTCTAATAGAGGTAGGGTTCGTCAACGTATATGAGTCTCATCTTTATTAGAAAGTTGATACAAATGATAGTACAACTAGGTGGTAAGAGTAACATTTTTTTATGCTTGCATGGTTGATTTGCTGGGGCTTTCTGGAGACTTCAAGAGGCCGAAGCACTAGTTAAACTAGTCAAGAATCCAGATGTAGTCTTATGGAGAACACTGATAAGTGCATGTAAATTTCACGGAAAGGTCGAGGTGGCAGAAAGAGTTTCTAATAAAATGCTTGAAATTGCATGGCTGGAGATTTGTCGCATCCAAGATCGAGAAAGAGAAATGAAACGCTAGAAAAATTGACTGAGAGGGTAAAAATATAGGGTTATGTTCATGATACAAGATTTGTGTTGCAAGATTTGGATGAGGAGTACAAGAAGCGGTCTTTGTACTATCACAAGCGAGAAGCTAGCAATTTCCTTTGCTGTGTTGACGAGTAGTAATAAGGATACTGTTATCGGGATATACAAGAACCTTCGAGCCAGCGGGGACTCTCATTCCTGGATAAAATTTGTCACCAAAGTTATCGAGAGAGATAATCGGCAAGTGATTCCATCATTTTAAGGGTGGTGAATACAATTCATATGTATCCAAGGCTCCGTTGTGCAGTTGTAGTGTATTACACCGTTGGATTGGCAAGGTTATTGATCTAGTCTTCTGATTGACTGGCTGTAATTGATCACTTTTAAGTTCCCTGTGTTGAAAGACGTGATTGATCTTCATCGGGACAGGGCATTAGTTCTTTCTCTTGTTCTTGAATCGATTGGAATGGATGCATATTCTCAGATTTGACACATTCAAGGATACTGGAAGTCAGGTATACGTACTTCAACTACAAAATGATTTGTGTTTCCAAGTTGGAATAGCAAAACTGGTAGTAAACTGTAGAAATCTGTTTAATGTAGAGATTAGCCAATTGCTAATTGATTATACTGCTGCCAAGATGAATTTCGGAGAATAATCATGTTGCGCACACCAAATGTGATTAAATTTTCAAACTGAAGAAGCCCATTGACAAGCAAGTAGGGTACATGAGTGAGCATTCTCTACAAGGAAAAACAAATTCTTCTTTTTGGTTTGTTTCAAGTTTTGCGCCATGCGTCCTTCAATGTAATACAATTTGTAACAACATAAGCACTGATCACTGATTGTTCATATCGGATCCCTAAATCAATGATGCTTTGATCTTGAGATATGAATTTGATAGGGTCTTGTACCATAATACATGAGCACCCCAAATAAGCTGTGTAGTTTGGTTTTGACATTCGTCTTTTCTTAAATCCAGATTGCCAAAGCTTTATGAACAGCTTCCATGGCAACAAAATCGAGGTCACTTGTGCACTCAGTTGAACTGTAGAGCTTCTTTTGGCCTCCCCAACAGAGATAATACCGTGGCTGAGATATGCCTCGAGGATAGCCCTGCTTCTTCAAGCTGATCCTGCGGTGCTCCATGATCAATGTATGTATCAGGAAGTACCATTGCTCTCAACTGCAAAGAGAACTCACAAATGTTTAGGGCGGAAGAGATTAGTTACGAAAATCAGTAATGTTATGTTAGTGACTGAGAATTATAGTACCTTGAGCGGTCCATCAAGAATACCACTTAAACTTAGGAAGTGGGATACATGAGATCCAAAACCTCCAATTGAACCTTCTTCCACTGTAATAAGGATCTCATGCTCCCTAGCCAATTGCTTGATTAGTTCGGTATCCAGAGGTTTGCAAAATCGTGCATCGGCTACTGTAACATGTATTTCCCTGGTTTTCAGCTTGTTTGCAGCTTCCACGCATTGTTGAACTATGGAACCATATCCCAAAATCGCAACTCTACTGCCTTCCATCAGTATTCTTCCTTTACCAACCTATTCAATAGTTGTCGATGAATTTCAGCCATCTATTTTGTATAATCACTTAATAATTTTGAATTTCATTTATACTAACCTCGAGTGGGGTTCCTTTGTTATTAACAGGAAGAAGCGCTCCGATACCATTGCCTCTTGGAAATCTGAAGCAGCTAGGTCTATCATCTATGGCTGCTGCAGTGGCGACCATGTTCATCAGCTCAGCTTCATCAGACGGGGCCATAACCACCATGTTGGGCAAACAAGCCATGTATGTGATATCAAATGCTCCACAATGGGTTGGCCCATCTGCACCAACCAAGCCAGCTCGATCCATTGCAAAGCGGACAGGAAGTTTTTGAAGATCTACATCGTGAATCACCTGTTTACACGTTATAAATCATTAGTGTCATATCAAGCAGTGATTTTGTTGAAAACCTACGTTTGAAAAGCAAACCACTATCCCCTATTCTCTTTTATCAGCTCACCTGATCATATCCTCGTTGCAGGAATGATGAGTAGATAGCGCAGAACGGCTTCAGACCTTCGGCAGCTAAACCAGCTGCAAATGTAACAGCGTGTTGCTCGGCGATTCCCACATCGAAGCAACGATCTGGAAACTTCTTCTGGAAATAATTTAGACCAGTGCCACCACCCATTGCTGCATGGATGGCTACAATCTTGTCATCGATTTCAGCTTCTTTTATAAGAGATTCAGCAAAGTACTGAGTATATGAAAGTGTAGGGGATTTGGTCTCAAATTGCTTGCCGGTTTTTGGATCAAACTTGACCACACCTAAAAATACAGGGAAATAAAATAAGGATCATCATAAGAACTCTTATCCGATTGCGGGATCATAAAGTTCGACTCATACCGTGCATTTTGTCAGCTGCTGCCTCAGCTGGGGGATAGCCCTTTCCTTTCTCCGTCATGATGTGGATTAAAACTGGCCCGGGCGCCGGCATGGCTTTCACTCTTTGGAAAATGGTGACCAAGTCTGCAACATTATGTCCATCCACTGGACCGATATAATATAACCCAAGCTCCTCAAAGAGAGTGGATCCAGAAGCGCTTATCATTCCCCTTGCGTACTCGTCTACTTTTGCTGCAACTTCATGTGTTTGGCCTCCAATTTTCTTCGTAATGCTCTTTGAAAGATATTTTCAGAGTCAGATTATCTGAAATAAGTTGAACAAGTCAGAATAAGAACCATTATTTGCAAGATTAATGGTTTACTTTTGCAGCCTCGCGAAGTTTGCGGAACTGGGTGCTTGCTTGGAGCTTGGTTAGAGCGCTGCTGAGGGCTCCAACGGGAGTTGCAGGGCCATCAAGAGTGGCAGTGGGTAAGGAGACTTGCTTGTTGTCATTCAATATGACGATCAGGTTAGAATCAAGGTATCCTGCGTTATTCATGGCTTCGTATGCTTGCCCTGCAGTCATGGCTCCATCTCCAATCACTGAAATGATATTGTTATTCTTCCCAAGTAGGTCTCTTGCAACTGCCATGCCTGCCATTAAGTTTTCAAGGAAAAACAAAAGTCGGATGAAATTAGCAAAGTATTCATCTACTATCTTGGACATGTATGTTAAGGTCGAGATTGAAATGGGGTTTTGGGGGTGTTAGGTGGTTAAGGTGAGAATTGTTACCTAAACCAGCAGAAATGCTTGTAGAACTGTGGCCTGCACCGAAAGCATCATAAACGCTCTCATCCCTTTTAGGGAAACCGGCAAGACCTGAAGTTTTCCTAACTGTGTGCATCTTGGACCTCCTTCCTGTAAGAATTTTATGAGGATATGCCTGCACAAGTAATTGCCTCTCAGAACTATTGAGTAGATCAGTACAATTTAACGTCTTTCGATCAATTACTGTAAATTAAAACAGTGTTTTCTTTTCAGTTAAATTAGAAATGAAGGTAAATTTCTTGCACCTGATGACCAACATCCCATATGATCTTGTCGTCAGGCGTGTTGAACACATGATGGAGTGCCACTGCCAGCTCCACCACACCTAAGCTTGAACTGAGATGCCCACCTGACTGTGAAACGCTGTAAACGATATCTACTCTCAGCTCTGCTGCAAGTTGTTCAAGATCCTGAAGAAAATAGCAATCATAATTTATGAGAATATAACAGGACTAAAAATCCAAAACAGGGCTTTTGCGACGAAATTTTACTACATGTAACTCAATATGTTGTTTTAGAAGTGATTTTACTATTTGTGTTGGTAGCCTACCTCTGTGGAGAGATTCTTCATGTGAGCTGGGTATTTGACTGTGTCCAGCAATGGGGTGCCTGGTTTTTCGCCGGAGTAATCGATCTTCCATCCATCTTTCTCTTTTCTGATCAACTTGCAGTCCTCACCATCTGAGTTACCAGCAGATGCCTTAACAGAGAGCTGCCACAAATGATAAAAAAAAACCATTGAAGCATCAGAACAAAAAAATTTCATCAAGAATATATCCGAAACAAAAGCAAAAACAAAAGAAGAGCTTCATGATATGAAAACATCATGGGAGCTCACTTGCAAGAACACAGCTCAAGAAATATGGACATGAAATATTGTAATTCTACCAAACCTGTTGTCTGCAACTGTGATTCAGTTTTGGAGGTGGAGGAGGAACGAGGCATGAAGACAGGTACTGATTCGGTCCAACGAATACGCTGAAGACCGCCATGGCTGACCGAATCCAGCTTAGAATCAATGAGGAGGAGGAGGACCACGACGACAACGGGAGGAGATTGTGAGAATTTTAGACAGGGAGGGAGACAAGAAACAGGTTTATACAGTTGGTGATGCCACTTAGTGTGGGAAAATGTATTGTTATTGTTGTATTGTTTTTTCAAAAATAAATTATTATTTATACATGAAAAGTATAAAACATATTTTTGGAATAAAATCCAAAATGGCCATGATACAAATCTCTTGTAAACAAGAAAATAATTTCCTTGAAAAAAAAAGCAGATAAATAGTTTTCTCTTTTAAGTTTTAACAATTAAGTAGGAGTCCAACCTCTTTTTTACAAGATTACACCCTTGAAGTCTTCACTTTTAGTGTTTCTGTCAAAAAAATTTGGTCGGCCTAGTTACTCTCTACAACCTTCTCTACGTAATGTGTTTTATTTGGGCGTTCATTCGTAATTGGTGCCGAAATTTCAAAATTAGAGACTAGAAGATAAATGGAAATTTTGAGAGGGTGAATGAAAAAATATTTGTCCATAGAAGGGATTTTTAGTAATTTTCTAAAAACAGAAGATGAGTTTTTGCTTCGTCATTAGAAAAAGTCTTCCTCATAACCTTTTTTTTTTTTTTTTCAAAAAAAAAAAAAAAATTCTTAAACAGAGGGGCATAGTTTGAAACTTATTTTGTTTCTCTCGCTCTTTTTCATTATTATTATTATTAGGTTTTTTAGTCAAAATGGTCTCTGAGATTTGCATAACTCACCACTTTGGTTCCTGAAATTTGAAATCAATAGAAGTGATCTCTGAATTTGTCTATCATCAATCATTTTGATCATTCTTTGAAAAGTTAAGGACCAAATGACAAAAATACCCTCCATTTAATAAATAATGGGCCAAAATGATTTGACAAATATTGATGATGTTTTTGTTATTTTATCTTTATTAATGGAGATTTTTTAAAGAATGACCAAAATGATTGATAATGGACAAACTTAGAAACCACTTCTATTGATTTCAAGTCTCATGGACCAAAGTGAGGAGTTATGCAAATTTTAGGAACTATTTTAGTTAAAAAGCCTTATTATTATTATTATTATTATTATTATTTTACGTGCATGTGAAAAACTAATGCATAACGTTAGTAAAAGAAATTAACACACATGAGTACACAAGTCACAATTTTAACAAAAAAAAAAAAGCGCAATTACATTGATTCCAATTTTATGATTAAATTTATATTTAAGTTAAAATAGAGTCATTGACTGACAAGAACAAATTAAAAATACTATTATGGAATGTTGTTTGTTTTAGTAATTCTATATAATCGTAAAGTTCCATATTCATCCTCCAAAGATCTGCAACACAATAACCAGGTCTACAATTGCTTGCTTTGCTCGATTTGGAAATAATGTTGCCAACAAGAATATAAAAAGAAAAACACAATAAAAATCTCTAAAAAAAAAAAAAAGAAGAAGATATATATGAAATCCAAGCCGTAAGAGGTCAAGGGCCGAGTCCTACCCGACCATGTTTTTGGGCCCTAGAAATTCAATGGGCTTGGCAGGCCCTATGTCAAATACATAAGGCCTTAGCTCAGCCCATATGCCTACAAAATTCGGCCTATGAGCGGGCCGCCAGCCCGACCCAATTTTATTTGGCCCTTTAATCATTGTATTTTAACCATAAAAATTATTAATGCTGTTAAGAATTGAACTTAAAATTTTTTACTTTTATTAGTTGTCAATTTGTACAACAATATCTGTCTAGTTAATCTTTTACTATAATATTAAAATCAAATAATATCTATATATATAAAGGGAGAATGCCAGTTTGGTGAAGCATTTGGAAATACCAAAAAAGTCCCTTTGTTTCCTTCACAATCAAAGTCCAAAAAATCCCAAAATCGAGGACAAAAACGTAAAAAAGAATTTAACTTATCAGAAACTGTATTGGAAACAAAACATGGTAATTAAAATAAAAAAATCATGATAATTATCCCCTAAAAGTTAGTAGTTATGGAGAGGAGAGAGAGATAAATAATAAAAAGGCAACAAAAAATATTAAAAATAAAACATATTAAAATAAATAGAAAAAAAATAGATAATCCAAACTAAAATGGCAAAACCGTTCGGAAGAGAAGAGGATGACTGTGGCGTCATTTTTGAAACTGCTATGAGCATTTATCGTGTGGTTTTTTAAATAGATATCTATGGGAAAGCGCCTCAAAAAAATTTTGACTAGCCGGGTTTCTTTTTTAGTTATTCTTCTCTTTTATTCACCTTAATTTCTTGATGCATGATTTTTAACAAATATTTCTTAGAATGTTTATGCTTCCATTTTGATTAGTACGGTTCTTGCTATATTTTAGATTATTAAACAAACAAACAATAAATAAAAGTAAAGGGACGTGATGGGTAACTCCTCCATTTGAGGATGAGATATTAATATCTCACAAAATTATATTAAACAAAAAGAAACAAATAAAAGTAGGGGACGTGATGAATAACTCTTCCATTTTAGGATGAGATATTAAAGTCAGAGATAATTGTATTGAACATCATTTTAGGAAAGAAATATTAAAAAATTAAGTAAAAAAAAAAAAAGCAACATAGTGAATAAGTGCTCTCCATTTTAGGAGAGAGAGATATTAAACAGAAAAATTAAAATTTGTTATATTGGAAAAAAAAAAAGGAAACGAAAAAACAAATAAAACAACAGGAATGTTGTGAATAACTTCTCCTCCATTTTAGAAGGAAATATTAATATCTAACAAAATTATATTAAAAATATCTAACAAAATTATATTAAACAAAAACAACGTAACTGCTCTCCATTTTAGGAGACAAATATTAAACATAAAATTAAAATTTGTTTTATTGGAAAAAAAAAGGAAGAAAAAGTTTAAAAAAATAAATGGACAGGAACGTATCTCCTCCATTTTAGGAGGAGATATTAATATCTAACAAAATTATATTAATAATAATAATAATAATGTGGGAGAAAAGGGATAGAGGTTATCGTTAGTTTAAAAAAAAAGGGTGAACTTCTCCCACTACCAAGCAGTAATTTCTTAGTTCCCACGTACATTCCCATTTGTTCCATTCCGGCTACAATATTATTATATGTACTCCCCATCTCCTTTGATTATGTGGCCAAATCTTATACTCCCCTTTTTTTTTTGCTCCGCCTTCACTTCTCTAAGTTGTTCTTTTTCTTTGATCTTTTTTATTTTGTGTTTGTAAATGATATGAGCTCAATCCCCATCTCCGTCAATTTTTAGTTCTATATATATAAAGTGAGAAGGCCAGTTTAGTGAAGCATTTGGAAATACCAAAAAAGTCCCTTTGTTTCCTTCACAATCAAAGTCCAAAAAATCCCAAAATCGAGGACAAAAACGTAAAAAAGAATTTAACTTATCATAAACTGTATTGGAAACAAAACATGGTAATTAAAATAAAAAATCATGATAATTATCTTCTAAAAGTTAGTAGTTATGGAGAGGAGAGAGAGATAAATAATAAAAAGGCAACAAAAAAATATTAAAAATAAAACAAATTAAAATAAATAGAAAAAAAATAGATAATCCAAACTAAAATGGCAAAACCGTTCGGAAGAGAAGAGGATGAATGTGGCGTCATTTTTGAAACTGCTATGAGCATTTATCGTGTGGTTTTTTAAATAGATATCTATGGGAAAGCGCCTCAAAAAAATTTTGACTAGCCGGGTTTCTTTTTTAGTTATTCTTCTCTTTTATTCACCTTAATTTCTTGATGCATGATTTTTAACAAATATTTCTTAGAATGTTTATGCTTCCATTTTGATTAGTACGGTTCTTGCTATATTTTAGATTATTAAACAAACAAACAACAAATAAAAGTAAAGGGACGTGATGGGTAACTCCTCCATTTGAGGATGAGATATTAATATCTCACAAAATTATATTAAACAAAAAGAAACAAATAAAAGTAGGGGACGTGATGAATGACTCTTCCATTTTAGGATGAGATATTAAAGTCAGAGATAATTGTACTAAACATCATTTTAGGAGAGAAATATTAAAAAATTAAGTAAAAAAAAAAAGCAACATAGTGAATAAGTGCTCTCCATTTTAGAAGAGAGAGATATTGAACAGAAAAATTAAAATTTGTTATATTGGAAAAAAAAAAAAAAAGGAAACAAAAAAACAAATAAAACAACAGGAATGTTGTGAATAACTTCTCCTCCATTTTAGAAGGAAATATTAATATCTAACAAAATTATATTAAAAATATCTAACAAAATTATATTAAACAAAAGCAACGTAACTACTCTCCATTTTAGGAGACAAATATTAAACATAAAATTAAAATTTGTTTTATTGGAAAAAAAAAAAGGAAGAAAAAGTTTAAAAAAAAATAAATGGACAGGAACGTATCTCCTCCATTTTAGGAGGAGATATTAATATCTAACAAAATTATATTAAAAATAATAATAATAATGTGGGAGAAAAGGGATAGAGGTTATTGTTAGTTTAAAAAAAAACAGTGAACTTCTCCCACTACCAAGCAGTAATTTCTTAGTTCCCACGTACATTCCCATTTGTTCCATTCCGGCTACAATATTATTATATGTACTCCCCATCTCCTTTGATTATGTGGCCAAATCTTATACTCCCCCTTTTTTTTTTTTGCTCCGCCTTCACTTCTCTAAGTTGTTCTTTTTCTTTGATCTTTTTTATTTTGTGTTTGTAAATGATATGAGCTCAATCCCCATCTCCGTCAATTTTTAGCATGCATGCTGTCATTAATTGGATACTAGAAGCATGGTGATGGAAGCAAAGTCGTACGAGATTGGTGGGTTTTCACTTCCTTTCCATGCATGGTTGTACTCATTTTACACATTTCCATGTTAGCATAATATGTAATTGTATGATTCCCAGATTTAGCTTCAGTTGTGTTTTTTAATTTCTTCCTTTGAAATCTTCATTGTGCGTTTTTTAAATTTTGGTCAGATTGTGAATTTCAATTTTGATTATCTTAATGTACTATACGTGTGCTATGGTAATTTTAAAAATTATTTGTTTTCATTCTTAGGATATTTACAAGAATACCCACAAAAAATGAAGAAGGAACCTATTGATAAGATCTCAAACAAACGTGTCTGTATTTTTACACCTGGTTGGGAGATATCTGTTGGAGTAAAAACTACTGATCTAAGCCAACTAATTCTCAAAGAGTGGAAAAAGAAGAAGCATGAGCAGTATGTATCCTAAATTATATACAAATTTGTTACAAGAAATCTAACATTGTATATACCTTCAATATATAGGTGGCGCATGAAAAAGGCTGTGGAAGAATTAAAACCTTCAACAACTCCTCATATCATACGTATTTGGAATAAAGTCCAACAAATAAGGTACAACACCATTTCTTACCTATTTATTTTTAATGGCATTCTCTATATCATTCTACAAATTAATTATCTCAAATTATAAAATAAAATAAAACAATTTATGGGTGCAGAAAAAAGATTAACAGTGGCCAAACAACTTTTCTAAATACGGTAAGTCTTCTCTTATTTTCATACAAAAGTATACTATAAATTCAAATTGCATTCAATTTTCAAATATAAATAAAATTGCATTTTTTGTCAATTTTACAAGCATCACACCCGTCTCAAAGTACAAAGATTGAAGTACAAGATGAAGGTAATATTTCTTATTATTTAATTTTGTAAATATTGTTACAATTTGTTACCTCAAACTTAACAAATATATTTATCTTTCAGTATTCTACAAGTAACTGGAGTAAAAGTATTGCCATGAGAAAATTGTCAAACTTAAAGGTATTTAGGTTAAGTTGCTTACAATCTTTATAGTTGGGATTGTGCATTATAGTTAGACTTCTTATTTTATCATCATTGCTTGCAGATTAACCATGAAAATCTAAAGCATCAAGTGCAAGCAAATGGGTGGTAAGCATGGCTTTGATTTCACACGTAGGCGCTATGTTTACATATGTACATGTTGTCCATATTTTGCTTTGCTTCATATATTAGGAGTTCATCCCTAGCTAGCCTATAACTTTGATTGAAAACTTATGAATCTGAAACATTTTGATTTAAGGACATTAAGTGTTGTCAATATGTATTTAGAAATCAAATTACATGTCATATTTTCAAATTTTTTTATTTATAAATAGTATATGTTTCCCATTTTATCTTCGTTGTTGTTTTAAAGAAAAAATAGTAAAAAATGTATGAGAGATTACTCACATATGTGCAAATTGGATGGAATATATGCTCCTAAATTATTCAACAAATGTGGCAATATGACAATATGGCATGCGATAACACCATTATCACTTTGGAATGATGGGATGATTGTACGGTAACATCATTATCTCATCAACCTTTCTTCAACTCAAGCAATTAGAACTACGTAGCCTGGCCCATGCTCTAATGTTGAACATCTCAGTCCCAACCCAAAATGGCACACCCATAATTATGTACTCACTCCTCTAACTGCATCAACTATCCCATTCACACAACCATTGAACAAATGATCTGCCAACCTGCTCGAATGACGCCAAATATTGCCCATAATACCTTTTTGTCCACCATAATAAAAAAATGTTGTTGTGCACCCTTTTAATACAACCACTAATCCTCATGTTACAAAATATATTGATCATTTCATATTTTCTATACAACATTAAATAATTAAGCATATTTTTTTATTTTTTATATGAGAGTTTAAGGAACCTAACTCTTGATCTTCTGTACAATATATAAGGGTAAAATGGTACTGATGGAGATAACAAAATTCTAACTAGACTGAGTAACTTAATTACCAAAGTCATAATAATGATCAAGCATAGCTCATTTCGTGAAATCAAATTCTATCAGCCAAACAAAAAAAAAAAACACCATAATAATTAGCAAGCAAAAAAAAAAGAAAAAAAAGGTGGATTGGTTAGTGTACAATTCATAAATTTCATTTTTGGGTACAATGGGTAGGTGCAAAAAGACTAAGTTAGATGATTGAACATAATAAAAAATTGAAAATAATAAGAAATTGTTGTGATGGACACAAACACATTTTATAAAATAATCACTTAAGAAATATAAGAATATCTAAAACAACACATCTTTGGGGCGCTACGCGCCCGTGATGCAAAAATGCATCTCGCACGCACGTTAGTGCGTGCAGAGAGGCTAGTGTTATATTAAGTTGGATTGGAATTAGCTTCGATCCATATCCAAATTCATTAATAATCGAATTTGGATTTTATTTGGATAATCAGATTGGAAGTCACGATCGATATTTTATTAATTACATCGGATTTAGATCGGATCCGGGCAAAATTCAATGGTGCCCTTTATAAACAGAACTCCTAATTGATGTCCTAAATATCACATCTCCCATATTCAACCATTGTTGTTCAAATGAGATGGGATACCGTGGGTTCAAAACAACTACTTAGGGAGTATCATGTGTGCCCTAATGAGTCATCCTTGAGTTCAGATATGCCACTATATAAAGGCATGCTCATTCCCATAAAAAATGCTAGGGGTGCAACTCGGGTGGGTTGGAAGGTTAACACAATCCTAACACAACTTTTACAATTTGGGTTGGGTTTCATTCGGGTTCATTTGGGCTTGGGTTTAATTAGGTTAGGGTTTACTTGGATTGGGTTCGGATTACCCAACTTTTTCAAGTTTAATCTTGTAACAATTTAGTTTCCGAGAAATCCTAAAAAAATTAAGCCAAGTAGCATCAAAGCTAGCTAACTTTAATTTCATAAATCCATCTACTGTAAAGCTTTAGGATTTAGAGACTACACATATGGGCTGACTAATCAAAGCCTCTTATTTCCTAAAAGCTTAAGTAATTATAAAGGGTAATTTATTAAAAAAAATATTAGAAAGCGTGTTGGTTTTTGGACTTGGCTCACTTGGGTGTAGTATGAGCATTAATTGTTATGGGTTACAATCTGGATAGATTGGGTTTGGTTAGTTAGGTTGGGTTGGGTTGGGTTGGGTTGGGGATGGATGGGCAAATGATCAACTCAACTTAACCCAATCAATGAACGGGTTAAAATTGAGTTGGGTTCAAGCGGGTTATAACCAAAAGAAAAATCCACTTGTTCGAGTTTAAAGTTAGGTTGGACATGGACGGGTTCGGATTGGCCCAACCTAAGTAGCACCCCTAAAAAATGCAACCATTCCTTAGCCAAGAAAGATTTACCTTGTAATTCATCTTCCTGGGTTAAGCCCCAGTTTGGTATTGTTTTTTTTTTTTCGCTAAAAACTGTTTCACTTTAAAATTAAGCAGTAAAACAGTGTTTGGTAACAATAAAATATACTGCATATTTTAAAAGTAATGGTCTTCAGATAGCACCTTTTAAAAATTGCTTTAATAAAAAACGGAGTTGAGCCTTTAGAATATTTTTACTTCATGTAATAAGCTTATTAGTTTTAAACAACGACATTATCTATCCTTGTAGACATTGCATTTACACTAGCTTTCATACTCTCACTATTTTTGATTTTGGATCTTCCAAATCATTCTCACAAAAGGTCCGGACCTTTTTTTTTTTTTTTTTTTTTTTTTTTCTCCTTCTAATCCTTCAATAAAAAGGATTCATTCTCTTCGTAAAAAATTGGAGGTAGAACCAATAAATATTTCTTTTTCGATTCATCCCCGGAGTTGAATACCTCATTCAAGAATAACATTTTTAAAATTACAGTTTATTAGACTCTTAACTACTTTATTTTGCAGCCAATTATTCTTAAAGCACAACATAATTACAATTTATTTAAAAAGCACAGCAATCTCAAATTGGCCCTAAGTCTAACTTAAGGCATTAGAGGACTTTTAAATGTAGTGTGACAATGTCTTATCTTTCATTAAATTTCTTGATTGCAAAGGCACCAAAGTAATTCTACGCTTGTGCGGACTACGTTAGAGAAAATAACTTAACAATTTTGCATGTTTTATTGGCAAGACATTATACTCATTTTTTTTTCATAATATTCATTTTTAACATAATTTTGATATGTTTCTTTTTATTCTTTTTTGGTTTTCAATGCGTCCTATTGTACACAAAGAGATGTAAAGCAACATTAATTAATTACTTATTAATTAACCCGTGAACATGCATGAGCAGATGTTTAATCCAACATTGTAAACATGAATTATCCTAAAACAAGAACACGTGTACAAAATAATATTTTGTATTAATGATTTTGGGGTTACAATATCTTTTACAATTTGATCATCTGATTCTATCTTCGTAAGTGTAGATCTGTGGATGGGCTGTTGATCCAAAGGGCCATCGGGGCTTGGTCTAGGGATGAACAGTTGTGCGGATTTGTTGATGTTGTTGATCCAAAGGGCCGTCGGGGCTTGATCTTAAGATGAACGGTTGATGAATAGATCTTCAAGGGCTTTTGGGCTTGATCTTGAAGAATAGGTGTGTGGATTTGTTGATGTTGTTGATCCAAAGGGCCGTTGGGGCTTGATCTTAGGATGAACGGATGATGAACGATGAACGCTTTCTTCAACGGCCGTCGGGGTTTGATCTTGAAGGTTGAGGGAAGTTTCTTCAAGGGCCATCAGGGCTTGATCTTGAAGGAGGATTTGACAAAGAACGAAGAGGGCTTTCTTGATCCTTCAGGATTTGCTTGAGAGCTTTAGAGTTTCAAAGCTTCAAGGTTTTGGTGTGATGTGAATTGGTGAAGTGAAATGAATGAAATTGGCTTATATTTATAGACTTTTTAAAGGCCTAATTTTGAATATAATATTCAGATGAAATAAATCATTTCTGCCAGGTGTTGACACATGTCCTATTTGACGACTTTTCTGATTTTGTTCGATTTTTTGTTGAGTTACATGATACGTGTAAAATTTATGTGATACGTGAACATTGAAATTTTAATTATTGATCAACATTTATTTCACTGAAATTTCGATGTCTATAAATGCCCCCACTTCAAGGCGCGTCGTATACATGTGTTTGTCACATGTAGGAGATGCGTTTTGAAGTCCTTTAATGTAGATATCAATCCAAGGGCCTTCAGGGCTTGATCTTGAAATGGACTGGAAATTTCTTCAAAGGGCGCTGAGGCTTGATCATGAATTGGGCTCAAAGTTTTCTTCAAGTGCCCTCACTTCAAGTACCCTAAACCCTAAACCCTATAACACGTAGCAGGAGGTGGTGTTTAACTACCGGTACATGTTGTTCCTATGTAGAATCTGACGAGGACAAAACTTGCTTCCAAGTGTGTCGTTCTAGTGTTCATCTGCCCTTGGTGCACTTTTTAGGCCGAGTTGTTGCATTCATCAGAAAACTATGCATCCACCAGTGTCTACGCTTTTATTATCGCGCGTCTGGATTAGGTGGAATAGTGCGTCATGAGGATGATTGTGTGCGTTTAAAGGTAAAACTTGAGCTTCTAGGTTGCAACAACTGTCGCCAAAGTTAGCTTTTGAATTTCTGGCAGCATCGAGGAAAGCTTTTAAACTGTGGAATACAGGTAGTCGAGCCCCCAGTTTTTTTCGTATAATGGTAGAGCTTATTGCTGCTTTAGATACCGTCAAACATGCGAATAAGTCCTCCGCTGCTTCCGGTTTTGGATAGTAGGGAGGTGATGTCAAGTACTTCTTCAAGTCCTTGAATGTGCATCGACGAGCCTCGTCCCAAAGTGCATGCTTCTCTGCCAGAGCAAAATAGTCTACCAGAGTTAGATCTTATTTCATGATCAATTTTCTGAATAGCGGGTGGTCTGCTAGAAGTCATTTTTGGAAGGCTGCTCTAACTATCGAGTCGTTGCATTCGACTATCCTTGCCTTCTCTTCTTTAAACCTCTTCACATAGTCACGAAGCGACTCCTTTGGGTTCTTTTTGATGTTGAACAAGTGGTCAAACTTCTTATTGATCGAGTGCTAGGATGAATATTCTTTGGCGAAAACCAAAGAAACTTCGTCGAAACTCCGGGTGGATTGTGGCGGCAGGGTGGAGAACCAATCTTGCGCCTCCCCTTGTAGAATGATGGCAAATATCTTGCACATAAGATCGTCGTTGTTTCGATAGAGGATCATTGTGCTTCGATAGTGTTTTAGGTG